ATCTGTACTATCTAAAAAAGTATTGAGAAAAAAAATGAGCATATTTCTTGTTAAATTAAAAATATATGTAATTAAATTATTTAAGGTTTATCACAAAAAATGTCAAGTGTTAAAAAAGTGTTGTATATCTGAATCTGAAAAAAGGGGTTTAAAAAAATGTCATAACATTGGTTTGAACCCAGTTATTAATTGATATATATTTCTCAAAACAAATTTTCTTCTCAATCACTAAGAATATAAAACATGTACATGATAGCGGGTTCATTTTACCATTATAAGATATTATACAATTGCTACACTCATTCTTATATTAATCTAAAGTTTAATAACAATCGAAAAATTTCAAATGTTGAATGAATAAACATTATATTCTACGAAATTCAATTCGAATTTCATAAGAGTTATACATAAGGAAAATAATATCATCAAATAGATAAAGCAAATAAGATACATTTGACACACTATTCCTTTTTCGTCCACTTGAACTTTGCACGTGCACTAGTAATATCAGGTAATGGACTTAAGGGACTTAATGGATTAGAAATCGCGGTTTTAGGATGTGAAAACGGACAGCTAGGTTTCATACAATATGGATGATATTTGCATTGTAATGGAGGATGAGAAAATATACATCCCAGTTTCGTGCACGCCGATCCGAATTTACACTTTGGGTGTTTGTAAGCACACTTGTCTCCAAATTTACAGGCAGGAAAAGAGCTATTTATCCATAAAAAAAAAAAAAAAAAAAAAAATTAATTAACTTGTTTCACTGATAAACAATTTGAATAAAAATTCTAGACTCACCTGCATGGAACATCAGGATGATAGTAAGCACATTTAATACCTAATGTGCAATTTGGCCAGTACCGACATTTTTCACTTGATTTGTCAGCAACAGTTGTAATAACTGAATTTATGAGTGGCCGTTTGTCTACATCTAAGCAATCAATCATATAGTTATTAATAAAAATAATGGATTTATTATTTTTTTAAATGAGAAAAATATTGCATAATACTTACGTAGTGCAGAGCTTACAGTAGATGCTACAGTAAATTTGCTGGTAGGACTGTTTGATCGAGATCGTGTAAAAATAATTGGACTATGAGTCTTTCTTCTTTTGTTTGAAGTGTTTTTTTTATCTTTTGAGTCCTCTGTAGTATCATTTTTATCACTTTCAACATCAACAGTTGGCTCGAGATAATGTACATTTCCATAAATTACGTCTAAATCATGAATTTGATCCTCTTCATCATACAAAATATCACTATTATCGTGGTCATCTACAATTTCAAATTCGTCTTGATCCTCTTCAATGTATTCTATGATTTCATCATTTTCATCATATACTTCATATTGAACATCAAAATCATTGCCTTCATCAACCTATTAAATCCATTAATTCATGTCTATTTATTTTAACTATACGGTATTTTTAACTTTGACGAAATTATACTTTTTATGTTTATTATAGTACTATTGTAATATAAATTTATTAGTATAAGAAATTCTTAAAATTTAGTGGATTTCTACATTTATACCGGAGGAGATAGGGAGCTTGTTTCAGAGCAGTATATTAGCCAGTTAATTATAATTAATTGTCCTAAACATACGGCTTTCGGCAGACTAAATACAGTAGATTATCGTTACGCACCAAATTACGGTTGTTTTTTTTAAACTATTGATTAGGTAACCATGGTGTATAAAGTGAAAAATGAAATTTCTTCAAGAACTTTCAAGTGGGGCTCAAGCAGTTGGAACCAGACTCAAAAGTTTCCATCTGGTGAGGACCTTAAGTGGCATCGGAAAAATTAATAAAAATATTCTAAACACTGAATTTAGAAAATTTCATTTTATACAGAAGTCAGTCAAAATAACATGATTATTTGAATACAAACAAAAATAATAACAATATTGAGTGATTGTAAATTGTCTGAAACTAAAAAAAATTTTTGTGCACTGCTGACGCATTGCATATATAATTGGAAACATGTCTTTAAATATTTGATGTCTAGTTGACAAAAAACACACATTTTATGTAAATAAAACCTGTATACTCATGTACTATTGTGACATCATGAACTGTTATTACTTATTAGGTCATTCGTTATCAGTATAAATATTTTGTCTCGTGTTGTAATGTGGTCTTTGAAGACAAAACACATAGATAACTATTAAAATTTCATAATTTGTATTATTAGTAACTTGAAGCTAATTATAGAATTGACCAAATCGCTTCGTCATACTTAGGTACTTCAAGTTATGTGCAGTTGCAAATATTTAATACTAGTACATCAGATGTAGTCAAGGCAAATTGTACTAAATCTTTTATGCTTGGTAATCGATTTGTATTTAAGTAATTCACGATGTTACGTCCTACATTTTACCTCTAAGATCACTCTTATTTAACATTCACAAGTATTATTTGATTCATTTCTACCACATGCAATAATTCTTTCATCCAGGTTATTAAGAAAATTACAATATTTGAAAGTTAAAATATACCTGCATTTCCAATTGTTCATCATCAGAATTTTTTTCTTTGAGGACATTATTGTTATACCCATTCAACGTAACTAAAAATTGCTGTTTATCATCGCTTCTTTTAAACAAGGACTTGACGACGTCCAGATCTTCTTCTCTGACATCTTGTGAAAAATGCATATTTTTTTGTTTTATTTTTAACAAGATTATACAAAGCCATAGTTGACAATAGAGCTTCAAAGGCACTTACGAGCTTTCTTAGCCTTTTTTTTTCGTTTACGGTTGGCTAGTTCGACTTGAATCCTATCCTGGACAAGCTGTTTATTCGAATTTAAATTTATTGCCAGTACTTTGCCTTCCTTAGGATCTCGCGTTATTTTAATGTTACTCGTAGGTTTCTGTTCCTGCGAAATTTATGAGAGCATCAATAAAATGCACCAACTAAATTCTTGAATTTTTATCACGTTTTTTGTTACCTTCAAACATGGATCTATTTTTTTCTGCATGACAACAGATTGATTTGCCTCTTGCACTGCTCTTAACAGCAAAGATTGCGTAGCACGTTTTTGGAATGGCTGCAATGGCTTCAGAGGCCTTGGAGTCACAATAATCTTACTCGAGAGCTTACCCTGAGTGTCCTCATCATCATCTTCAATGATATTTGTAATATGCTCCTCTTTTTTATTATCTTTGCTTAAATCAGCTTTTCTTTTTGACACTTTGGAAACTTTATCTTTTGCCTTCTGCAGTTTTGGTTTCTTAATTGCGATTATGTGAGACTTGAGGGAAGTATTCAACAAAGATTCGGTATCATCATCTTCATTCTGTTGGAATCCACAGGATTCTTTAATTATCTGAGACAGTCTTGCTGCTCCACTCAAATTATCCTTCCTTTGAGGCTTCACTTTCACTCCCAATCTACTTTTGACATTACTAACTCTAGGTTTACTCACTTTGGTGGTACTACTGGATGATTTCAATGGTAATTTATCTTCTGTTTGAGAACTTACGATGGCGCCAAGACGAGACTTCACAGTCCCCGGCTTGCTACTCAGTTTTACCTTATCTCTCAAATCTGTAATCTTTTTTGGTTTGTCATTCTTTGATCTACTTCCAGACTTATCTCTGCTACTTGAAGATCTCGAATTCGAGCGACTTTGTCGTCGTCGTCCATCTTTGTCTTTGCTTTGATCCGAACTACTTTTATGACTAACAATGTCGCTTTTTCTCACATCAGAATGGCTTTTGCTTGTGACAATTTTTTCTCCACCAACTTTCACTGGAGACTCCAATTTTTTTGTAGGAGAAGAACCAAGCCTATTTTTAACTGTAACGACAGAAGTGATTCTTGGCTTGGTCGTAGCTGATTTGAGCTTGTTAGTACTCTCACTTTCAGAGTCATACGTGATTTTCATGCGTTTACTACTTGGCTCACTTTTTTCTGAAACACTTTCATTTGCGTTTGATTTTCTTTTTATAACTGAAGACGAGAAATCACTATTTTTTGGAGGTGTCAATGAACAACTTTGCATTGGACTTGTTTCTTTTTTTTCTATAATCAAAGACTGTACAGGTACTGGTGGTGGTGGTGTTTTTACATCCATAGACATGGCAGCAGTGTCCATTTCCATGCTATTGGTATTACATTCTAAATCAAGAGAGTAAGAATCTTTCCTCTTTTCCTTTTGTTCATCACTAATATCCAAATCCTTGAAACTTGACTTGCTGCAGTCTTCTTCGTTCAACATTGCCAAGTCTCCAACCAGCTCCTCAAATTCTCTGTCCCTTTCTTGCTTCGTGAGCACTTCCGGCTGCAAATTCAGCTCAGAGCTGCTGGGTTTGTCTTCTTCTTTGATTTTTTTTTGGTCCTCCTCCTTCTTCACGGGCAGCAGTGGGACACTCTCCTTGCTGCTGCCTTTCTTCTTAGCAATGGTAACTTTTTGCAGTTTTTTCAAAACTTGATCATGCAACCAGTTGACGAAAGTTTCGGTATGATCCTCCAAGAATAGCTGCAAATCGTCGTTCATCTGCTGCCGAGACTTTTTGTTTACAACCATCACCAAAATGTAGTCTGGCAACTCCTCGTCATATCGAACACCCAGTTCGAGCAGTTTGGCTCGAATGGCACTCTAAAAATAAAGCACGAAATGTGTAAGAAAATGCTTAAACCAAGTAAATTTTTTCTACACCAAAAAAAGGTTTAGCTTGACTGATTGACATGAATTACTCTAAGTTTAATGTAATTATAGGTTACGAAAATTGAACAAACGACTGAAAAATAAAATCCAGTAACAGGGGACGACTCGACAAAAGCATGAAAAACTACAGGAGGACAAGGTCAACAGGATCAAGGATCACGATAAGCCTGATAATTATATTATTTCTCACCCTCAGCTGATTCGTGATTTCGATGCCACGAATGTCCATCTTGAGGCGTTTATTTTCACGTACAACGCACGCACACGGCTTCTTGCAGCAGCTTGTACAATAAAAAACACCCCCGAAATCTCAGCACTAGGTCCTTATCGTTTTACAAATAAACTTTAATACATCTACGCTTGAATATTTTATTTATGTCAACTCAGCTTACCAGCCGAAACTGTACTATTGGACTAATTAATTTTGATCAGAGATTATGATGCTTATCGATGATGTTTTCTCTATTTTTCTCTCTCTCTCTCTCGCTAAAGGTTATGCTGTGTCTTTTTTTCTCTCGGTCCTCTATACATACATGTCCGTATAAAACACCGTCAAATACTTTTGTCGGTACTGCAGTTTACCCAGTTGTCTATTCAGGTTTGAACTTTGAACCACGCTTTGAACTCATTTGCGGCCATGCGGGCGTCTGGCAGCCAAACGGCCCAGAGATACTATCAGGGAATTTATAAGGCTTTTATGCGTAAGCCTGATTTATTTCGAGGGGCCACGTAAGGCAAATTTGTTGGCTAGACAGATCACCACGGAGCATCTAAGGTCCTCGCAAGGTTATAAAAATCTAAATATATTTAAGTGCATAAATATTTATATTCACGTTTGACTTAGAGACCATTTAAACTAAGTAATATAGTGTTTTTAGATTGATTAATTTATGAGCAATCGATGGGTGACTGGTTCGAAAAATTCTATTGAATAAATGAATAATGCGTTTTCCAAGAAATGTTTGCAGCGATTGTTCTATAATTCAAGTTTTCTAAGCAATCGTAAGCTCCACGAACCCGTTTTATTTTATTTAATTGTGCATCTTTTGTTATCGGAACCCGGAATTGGCCCGGAACGTGTCTTAAATATATTTGAATCGAACTTTATCACACGTTTGATACACAAAAATCACACATTTATATCCTATGATTATGCTTTTACGGATGTATACTTGCAATTAATCACATTGGCATGAGAGAAATAAGAACTTAATGGATTTAATGAATACTCTATAAACATAGATAAAATATTACATGATTTTGCTTTGCCACAATTTGCAGATCGCTGAATTAATTTGCCCCCCATGGATTTGAAAAATAGCAGAAGGGCAGAGCCGTTGAGAGAGAGGGGAGGAAGCAGCAGACGACAATTTTTAAAAGCACATCTCACGCAGGTTTGGAGTTTGGATGATCTTGTTTGTCATTACAGCGCAATTAAAATCAAAAATAATTGAGCAAAGATTTGAACTACTATAACATCATCTTTATATATACGCCTTGCGCGAGTTTATTGCGACTTTGGTCGCAATGTAGCGTATGTCGTATGTCATAAAGTGCGCAAACGCAAGCGAATCATATATGTGTTATATACACAAAGAGACATTTAATAATTAACAACAAGTACGCACATACAAGTATACGGTTAGCGTTACAATTTTCGGAGAAGCTCCTCCTCCTCCTCTGTCCTCTCTGTCTTTCTCCTTAAGTCTTCAGTATCAACCCTCAGGCAGTTGTTGCGCCCCCGTAGAGGTGGTTGGTTGATTCCTGTTCGACATGGCGGGCACCATCGTACGCCGTTTCAACGTCCCGAGGAAGCAACTGGGTAAGTCTCGAGGTCTTCTTGGAGTAGAGCGACCAGCTGTGAGCGTCTCGACGGATTCTGCAGCCTCGTCTACTCACAATGCGGGGTGGAATGAGAGGAGAACTTGTCAGTGCGAGCATTACATAACCTTGTGCAAACTTTCTTCTGCTTCCAGGTCTCCTTGGGCAGGTGGTCAGCAGCCAGCCGTCCAGGAACCTCGCTGACGCTGCACCTGAGGGCAAGGTAAGCTGTTGACGCAACTGACAGGTTGTCGTTATGGTTGCTGGGGGACACGCGTATATAATGCTTTATGTACATGCATCAGCTGATGCTACATTTTGGAGTCTGTTGTTTTTGTGTGTCTCTTAGGTATTTTTGATTGGTTGAAGGGTATTTTCTCTTCATTCGGCAGATTGGTTATGACATGTCAATTAGTTATGTTGTTTGAGCATATTACAGACAGTTGCATAATTTTGGCACCATATTTTTATATACAGTTGTCTTGTCAAAATAACTGTTTCATATAGATTATCTATTATACCTACCTAAGTTTGCGTCAATTGACTTTTATCCGAGTATATTACCTACTGATGCATTGATTTTTTTGGCTCTTATATTACTACTTATAGCTACAAATATGTAATCAACCAATTACTTTTATGTTGACAGAAATTTGGTAGTCCGCTTAAGGATGAAGACAGAATCTTTACAAACTTGTATGGAAGGCATGACTGGAGGTTAAAGGGAGCTATGAGGCGCGGAGATTGGTACAAGACCAAAGAAATTTTGGATAAAGGTGCAGATTGGATCATCAATGAAGTCAAAATTTCTGGGCTTCGAGGTCGAGGAGGGGCAGGCTTTCCTTCTGGAATGAAATGGTCGTTCATGAACAAACCATCAGATGGTAGGCCAAAGTACCTTGTCATAAATGGAGACGAGGGAGAGCCAGGAACTTGCAAGGATCGTGAAATTTTACGTCACGACCCGCACAAGCTCATCGAAGGATGTTTGATTGCTGGTAGAGCTATGGGAGCATGTGCCGCATACATCTACATTCGAGGAGAGTTTTACAATGAGGCATCCAATACTCAAGTTGCCATTGCTGAAGCTTACCAGGCTGGTTTGATTGGAAAAAATTCTTGTGGATCTGGTTATGATTTCGACATCTTTGTGCAAAGAGGAGCTGGTGCTTACATCTGTGGTGAGGAAACAGCACTTATTGAATCCATTGAGGGAAAACAAGGAAAGCCGAGACTGAAGCCACCTTTCCCTGCTGATGTTGGTCTGTTTGGTTGTCCAACAACTGTGACAAATGTAGAAACTGTTGCTGTGGCACCAGTAAGTTATCATTTTGACTTCAATGCATAGTTTCATAAATATTCACTTAGTGATCTGAAATCCTACAAGTGCTGAGAATACCGTAATTCCTATTTTTGCAGACGATTTGTCGTCGTGGAGGTTCATGGTTCGCATCTTTTGGTCGACCTCGTAATAGCGGCACTAAGCTGTACAACATCTCGGGTCATGTTAACCATCCATGCACTGTTGAGGAAGAAATGAGCATTCCTTTGAAAGAGTTGATTGAATTACACGCAGGTGGAGTGATAGGAGGTTGGGACAATCTATTGGGAATCATTCCTGGAGGATCTTCAACGCCCGTCATTCCTAAACAGTAAAAAAATCAATAACTAACATTACGTTGGCAGTTGTGTCGGTTTTGTTTCTAATATATTATACCTTCTTTGTTACTAGCATTTGTGACACTGTGCTGATGGATTACGATGATCTTGTTCGGGTGCAGAGTTCTTTTGGCACGGCAGCTGTTATAGTTATGAATAAACAAACTGATATTATCAAAGCAATCACGCGTCTCATTAGCTTCTACAAACACGAGTCCTGTGGTCAGTGCACTCCTTGCCGCGAAGGTATTTCCTGGATGTACAAAATATTGCAGAGGTGCCATGTTTGAAATTGATGTTATATTGTTTTTTTTTAAATAATTTTTTTCATTACTAACGATCGAAACACTTTCAGATTTGTCGAGGGTAACGCAGAAGTGCACGAAATCGACATGCTATGGGAGTTAACGAAGCAAATTGAGTTGCACACGATTTGTGCCCTGGCTGATGGTGCAGCATGGCCGGTTCAAGGACTCATCAGACACTTCAGACCCGAGATAGAGGCAAGAATAAAGAACTTCAAGCAGAACTGTGAAGCCATTTCTCAGTAAATTTAGGAAAAATATAGATGAATAATAAGCTTTGAAGGAGTATAAAAATATTGTTTATTTATTTTCACATGTATATAGCTGATCAGTTGAAATTTTTCATAGAGATGATTCATAATATATAAAACGATATCTCACTCTCTATAAATTGCAGTATTTTTTAAAATTAGTTTTTAGACACAATACTTGTGCTGTTAATTGTATCGACGTCATTCGTTATCAGAAAAATTTTAAACTGTTGAAAGTAAAAATGGTTGACCTTTTTTTTAATACTTAAAAATTTGAAATAAAAATTAATCTTTATTACAAAACTGGTTTTGAATTTCTACAAATTATTACAGCTGTGTACAAAAAATCTTTAATAAATACAAAAAAAACAACAATTTCAATCAATTTTAACGCTGTTTGGATCCAAATACATGCATCGGTAATGCTTTTGATAGTTTCGTGAAGTTTTCAAAGTCCTAGTGTCAAATGATATGGATTTTCTAAGTAATGTTTCCACAAATTCGAGAACTTTGCCATTGTCACACCATCCACGACTCTGTGATCTGCCGCCCAGCTGATAGACAGAATATCTCTCGCGACGATGTTACCCAGCTCGTCGAATTTCGGCAGCCTCTGAATTTTCCCAACAGCGCCTATCACAACTTGCGGCGATAGTATTACGGGCTTCGTGTATGTTCCTCCGACCTTTGAACAAATAAATAATTATTTACTTATATAAGTGTAAAATTAGATACTAATTCTTATATTTCTTATGTGTGCACTTGTAATGTTTTTTTTTTTTTTTTTTCTAGGTGATATTACAGTGAACTTTTGGTACTTAATTAACACGCCGTGTACTTACGAATGTGTTTTTACGTAACAAGTGTGGAAAAAGTACATTTTTCGACACGAGTAGAAACGCAATTGTATCTACAAGTTACGTAATACTTTTTATACAATTTGAGGAAATTTTTAAGTAGAAAATACAAATAAACATCAGAATCGGCTTGCCTTCAAATTAGATAATTTTTTTTTTTGCAATTGAGTGTCACTTAACGGCATACGTGAGTAATATAAAACAAAAAGATTTGAACGACACGATTAATGTTCATCAAAGAAAATTAGCTTGGCACGTGTAAATGTTTACAGGAGACCGTAAGTAGTTCAATTAATCGTTCGAAAGCAAGGGTGCATCTCACACCTCGTACAAATTTTTTTTCATTGATACTCTCCAATGTAGTAACATTGTTTCCGAATTGATTGTCAAGCGCGTCGCGGCGTGCGACCTATAACGCTACACTAAAATTGTCGCGATTCTAAGATAATAATTAAAGACGAAGCCGAAGCGAAGCTCACAATGCCAATGTTTGAAATGGAAATGGTGCCCCCCATGAGATCCTTGGGTGGAATCGAAGCCTTTTTCCCAAGGGCTTGTAGCCTGTTGAGCTCCTTGGCGATGTCGACGATGCACATATTCTGAACGTTCTTAATGTTGGGCACGACCAGGCCTCCCGGGGTGTCCATGGCCAGTGAGATGTTGTGCTCCTTCTTGATGTCAACGGACTCGGCTTCCTCGTTGACGAGGGCATTGAGCTCCGGGTACTGGAGTAGCGCGCGGGATATGGCTTTCAGGAAAAACGGCATGTAGGACAAGGCGAGGCCTTGGCGTTGGAAGGCCTCTTTCACTTCCGCGCGCAGTTTCACCAGCTTCGTCACGTCGCAGTCGTCGCTGTAGACGAAGTGCGGTATCGCCTGAAATTTTTGACGTTTTCAGCGCTGATTTTTAATTCATCGAATAATTGTTTTTTTGATTTTTTTGCCATGTCTTATCGTTATGGGATATTTTTTCTGAAAAATTTGAAAGATCGTTATCTTGGGATTTCCCCGGCCTATTTTAATGAACTACAGCCTTTTTTTTATTGCTTGATATCTATCATCACTTAAGAAATAAATTAAAATTTTTTAACTTGTTTGCCTTTTTAAAATATATACACATTTATGTTTTAGAATAATTTACAATGGAAGGCATGAAAAATCAAGAAATTATCTACGAAAAAAAGGATTTTTATTAGGAGTAATGAATTAGGTGCCTGGGTCTGCAAGGGTGTACATTCGGTCAAGGTATGCAAACAATTTCCATAAAACTATTTTTTTTTACACAATAAACAAATCTTTAACATTATATGAACCTATCATAGTATAAAATGTTCACGAACAACATTTATTAAATGGCCTCCTAAAAAAAAACATATTTACTGACAATTAAAGTATTTAACACAGTCTTCTAATTATTAATTAAAATTTGAAACTAAATCAATTCGTATGGATTTTTTAGATTATTCACCTGTGGTAAATTAAAAATAAATTTTTGATAATTTTTATACATCAGTAGTAACAGCATAAAATGTTGAAACGATGTGTATTCTTCATCGGACCATCTACACATATAAGTAAGCAATAATGAAAAAATATGTATCAAGTTGGGGTATAAAGTACATAGGAAAAAAAAAAAAAAAAAAAAAACACGATCATAAGTACTAAAGTTCACGAGAGTACAAAGTATCTATAATGTATCTATCTGAATATACGTGCACAACTTTCTAGATACATATATGTATTTTTACGTCATAAACCACAATAGTATAGGCTCTACGTAATGTACATGCAACGACTGTATAAGAGGCAGGCAGTTTTATTACTTATGAATGAACATAAGTGTATGAGTTTACTTTGTTGTTTGAAGAAGTTTAAGATAAACTAGATTTAGACGCGATATTAGTAAATTTTTATTTAATATTAAGGGTAATGATTAAATTTTTTTTATTATGGTTATTTTGTATTAAAATCTACATAACTGTTTGTGAACAATAGGAATTGTTTTTAACTTTCCCTTTTACTTGTAAAAAAAATTTTTTTTTTTTACTTCTGATTTTTGCGTATATTCAGTTTTACTCTTGTTATTCGTGATAAATTTCAGTAAGAATTTTTTTATATTGTTTTATTTTAAAAGCTAAACGGAAATGATATGTCATTTACTTGTTTCTATATGTCATTATTTTATTAATTTCAGTGCCAAACGCAGGGGGTAAGCAAAGGGAAAGACGTCCAGCGGAAAATCGTGTACGGCAAGCACACCTCGAAGCATCAGACGTATTGCAACCGCGAAATATTAGACCTATACCCGTACCTATGTATTGAGATTACACGACCTTCACTAAAAAAAGGATGAAAAACACGCAGAGCCCAATTTTAAAACGCTGTCACAGCGTTACCAAGGGCTAGAAGCAATCAGGATTGAGATCAAAGCGCCGGAAGAGCAAAGGGAGATACTTCGGGCAAACATCACGAATGCCGTACTCAGCTCAGTTTTATAAACTCGATAAGGTAATAGTCAGTAATTCTATTTATACTTATAAATAATGATTGAAAAATATATCTATTTTTATGCTTAAATAACTATTAAAGCATAACATCATTTTTTGTACGTAATCGCTCCTTGTCCATTCTGCATTTGACCCCTATACGGTAATAATTCGCATTTTCATGGGTTTTCATTTTAACGGAATCTTGTTCATCCCTTTTAATGGGTTTACATCGGCTATCTTGGATCCGTCAAATTTATTTTGGGTCGCCTCTTGAACTATCATTCCTATTTATAATGTTATAGTTCAAGTGTGAAGGAAGATCATTTATGAGTTTTTCAATACTTCGAGGCACCATTTTGGCCATCAAAAATTGTACCATCGAGTCATATGAAATTATTACAAATTTTTTTTTTTCGAATTCCCTCAATACCTTTGCAATGAAAAAAACATTCGAACATTTATAATTTTTAATCTATGACTCTCTCAACCCGGACTCACCAGTGATTGCGTCATTGATTTCCACATATGCTTGGCGTACTTCTTCTCGACGAGCCTCTTCAGGTCAGTGGTGCCGCTAGCATCCGTCCTGACGACCTCGGCTGGGGCTTTGTCGGCCAAATATGCCAGAATATCCTCCTTGAGAACGCGGCCGTCCTTACCTGTGGCGGGCACCTGTGCCAGATTCACGTTGTGCTCCTTGGCTATTTTTCTCACCGCTGGGGTGGTCAGTGTCTTATCCGTCGGTTCCTGGGGACTGGCCTCTTTCTCATCGTCGTTCTTGGCTGCTAGAGTCACTTCGATGGGCTGTTGGGTTGGAGCGGCCGGTGGAGCAGGATCGTCGGGTTCCTCGGAATCGAGCTCGATGTCGACGAGGGCAGACCCCACGAGGCAGGTCTCGTTGAGCTTGTAGTGGACGGTTTTGACGGTGCCGTCGTAGCGGCTTGTTATCGTCACCGAGGCCTTGTCGCTCTGCACCTCGCATATGTTGTCGAACTGGCGCACCTTGTCCCCGTCCTTGACAAACCTGAGAGAAAAGAGTTTTTTTTTTTAATTTTTAAGAACTTTGAGATTTATTTTATTATCCGAACAAATGTTTACACTCTTTCAGCGACTATTCAGATTAATCCTTCTTTTTTCGTTAGACATGGTGAACAATTGGGGCTGGTGATATTTTTTAGGGCTAAAAGGGTGTTGGGTGTTTGACAAAAATTTTGTGGATCTTTATTAACTGAAGCTAACGAAACTAAACTTAAATTAAGGATATACTTTTTTAATATAGCTACACTTACGTTTCTATTCTCAATTGATGTCGTTCGTTCATTCATCGACAAAAAATCGAGATAAACTTTACAACATTAAACTGTATTATCTGCAGCAGAAATGCTCTACTATAGCAGCTAGGGTTTTGTTTTTCTTTCGCGGGAAATAGTTACTTAAAAAAAAAAAATACTGTTTGAATAAGATTTTGTAAATCAAAATTAACAAAATAAAAATTCGTATCGAGAATCGATTGTTCCGTAAATCTTTTTATCCCAGTGATCAAGTTTTCTCAAGATTTTTTTTAATGTCCATCTTAAAGGTATCTTTTGGAAATTTTATCTTCAAGGATATATTTGCTGGGGACCCCAGAACAAAGGAGGTGCCATTTATTGAAATTTCAATAAAAATATCCCATAACTTGCATAATGTTCTAGTAAAAATTCTCTCAAAGTAAATGGTAAAGATGTTTCCAAAACACCGACCGCATCCAAACACGTTCGAAGGACTGATGGAACGTGTCATCATTTCACGATTAACTGGACCGTGATTTCACAGTAAGAATCATCGACAACGAAGACGTATGTATATGGGGGGGTAACGTATATTGTTTCAACCCTCACCGCGTGCGCACGTGCAACAAAACTCGTTTTATACACGTATACGTATAAAACTTATCTACGCGCGCTCTCAACACAAATATGGAGGAGAAGGCCGTGGGGTCGGTGCGTCGGTGTATTGTGTGGAACTGATACTAACCGCAGCCACGTGTCCGTGGCTTGAACCGACCGAGGGACGTTATTACCGTCACTGACTACAACCATCGACGCGAGAAAAGCGAAAGTGAAATCAATATATAGAGCGCGTGCGATAACACCTAAGTATACCGTGTGTACCCATGTACCTGTTGTGGTCGGTAGCATGTGTGTACCCGTGTATGACGTTTGTTCGCGGTGCTTGAGAACCTTTGTGCTTGTCAATTGCAAAATTATGTGCAATTTAAACAACGAAAATTATGACGTTCGTTGACTCACTTTTTTGGTCGTTATACTCAGTTTAAAATAAAATTAAGTTTTTATTTTTATATGGATTCGAAAGCTTGCAATGAGCTTTAATTTCAGCTCAAATTAAGTTGAAGGACAAAAGTAAAGCTTTCGCGACTCCCAGTTGTAAATCACTGCTGAAATATGACTTGTCAAAATGTATTTTTCAATATTTTTATGTTTGCTGACTTATATGGTTTTTTGGAGATTTTAATTTATACCCTTGTGAATATATGCGTGGAGGAAAGTAAGAAATTTAAAAGGTATTCTCTTCTTCAAAAGTATTTCATTTTATATTTCAAAATTTTTATTACATTTGGCTAGCACATACAAAATTATTAATTTACAGTGGACTAATTTAGGAAAAACAATCTTTTTTCATATTAAGTAACTGACGCTATTTTAGAGAGTCTGTAAAAAACACAAATTAATATTTTGGATAAACAAATGTATATAATTTTTTTCTACTAGATTATTAAATAAATCAAATTTTTTTAAAATACGTGCTTATGAATCAACTTATTTTTATTGATTCATAATATTTACTTAGACCCTTGATGATAGTATAACTGTTATGCTTGTCACTGTGTGTTCTTCGAAACTTTGGAGTATATCTTCCAACTGTCAAGTATAATTATCCCACAACTGATCATTTTGAACGATTTATGGAGAAATCAGAGATTTTTTATAGAATAATTTTGCATTAGTCAACCATAAGGTGTTTAAAATTATTTTTCAATCGAAAGCTAAGCAGAATTCCAATCGTTTTTTAAAAAAGATGTTGGTCAGTAGTTTAAAAATAGAGAATGAATAGTTTTCAGATTAAGATGCAAATTTGATATTTTTTTATTTATAAATCTTTAAGATTATCAGTTTTTAATCATCTAATCAAGTTACTACCGTGGACAAAATAGTTAAAGTCTAGAAGCGCTGTTTTACTATATTGGTGTTAAAAAAGTCAAAACAGCTTTGCAGTTGTACATTTGGGGGTTTTCTACTAACTTTAATTAATACTTAGATATATTTAATTCCTGATCATTATTCGAGAATAAAAATTTTCTCAATTTATAGAGACCTCCTCCTTTGCACACATAGATGTTTTATGGATACATTAGGGCCGATACAATTCGGCCCTGTATCGATTTTTAGCTTATATTCACACCAATTAATCACAGCAACAAAGGGACGGGTATGTACGGGATTTAAATATTTGTATAAGCATGCACGTTGGTGGACCAACATGTGGGCTCTCGCTTACCACTCCTTGATGACGACCTCTCGTATTCCCTCTCCAATGTCAGCCAGCTTGTATGGCACTATCTTGCCACGGTATAATGATGTCAGGGAGATCAATCGTCTAGTGGTTCTGCTGCTTAATAACGGCCCATTGGTCACCTGGAAGTTCAAAGTAAATGGAATAAAACTAGAAACGTATATAGCCTTCTACTTTTTGCATATTTTAATAATTTTTTTATCAATATTTTTCACGTCATGAATCATTAGCGATCTTAGCTCCACTTTACGTTGAAGTTAATCATTTTTATAGTTTTTACGTATGAAGAAAAAATTAGTTTATTTTCAAAGGTTTGAAAAAATCTTGGAAAGGTTTTTGAACAATTTATTATTAAGAAATCATAATTGAATTTTTAATTGAGGATGTTTTTAATATTACAAGATAAAATTAAACTAGAAACATCAATGCCCTTGTTATTGACACATTAACGGTTTTAAGTAACATTTGGCTGATGCATAGTCAAAGTAAATAATTATCATGTGCGTAGCTACTTCTGTATGTACAAGTTAGCTGTGAATAAATTTTATTATAATATTTTGCGTGATATTTAATAGTCATTAAATTGTGGAATACCGACTCCTGTTATCTAAATTATTGGGATTCAACTGAAAGTTTGTGCAATTTTCTTTTGAAAAAATTTATATTTTTAAAATCACGACTATTTTCTGTACATAAAAAAAAAAAATTATGATACTAGATGCATGTAACGTAAGCGTCAGATACGTAAACAAATGAATACAAGTTTGTAATTACATTAAATGATGTTTTGATTAAGAGATTTAAATTAATGCAACTAAGTAAATATATAGGGACATCAACAAAGACATAGAGATAGTGATATGAGAACCTTTTTACCTAGCCAAGTAATTGTAAAAATGAGAATAAAGAAGTGCAAGACAGAGAAGGAGAAATTGAAGTATAGAGACAGAAAAAAAAGAGGGACAAAGTACGAGATAAAAAATGCAAAGCTACGAGTAGGTATAGATGTACCAATACAAAAGTGTATAAACGCAGCTACAATTTTTCATCAAGTGTTGAAAGACAAAAAGAGAATAAGAGAATTGGAATTGGTATAAATTATACACTTTTATTTTTCTTTACCCATAAACAGAATATGTTAAGGCAGAAAGAAAGAAACACAATCAAGATAATTTAAGATAGTGCAACAAGAACATACGATAATAATTTTTTTTTTTGGAATCTCAAAAAGTGTTACTTATGTGCTTGAAGCTTCGCTAGTGTACCACATAAGTATATAAAAATTTTATTGCCACTTGTTACTTTGAAGAAATGACGATACTCGCATAAGTACTCTAAGGGTGTAACGCTGGGCGAATAAAAATCAATAAGCTTTATTTCTAAATCTGGATATATTTCATACAAAGTGTATTATAATACAAATTATAGGTTTTCTCTGCTTTTTAACAAAAAACAAAGTCGTTATAGTTCAGACATCGTCCTTTACACTTTAAAAAACACCTCATTTTACAATTAGCAGGGATGGTCTGACAATACGCTGGTTTGGACTACTTAAAAGCTCCTATTCCTTCCGTGTTTTAAGTCAAGTAACATAAGGATGATAGGTAAATATGACACACAAGAATGTATTATAGTGAAAGGAAGTTTCGTGTACATGTATATATTTATACACAGGCAACACCTGCACTGCTTTGCTCGATTAATTATTTCAACGAACGCGTATTCGTTAAAGAAAGCACGCTGCCACATCCCCCGCCTCAGCGCTATTATTTTGTTCCTATTTTATGCACGCAGCTTGTAGTGTATGTACACCCATTAACCCTACCTCAGCAAGGGATAATACACCTCATCTTAAGGAAAGTGCGGAAGTGAGGGAGACGTGATGGAAGAGCACGCGAGACTCTTTTTGCGAGGATAAAGACGATGAGCGCGCGTCATGAGGGAAGCAAAATAACTCGTTATCGCTACTCTCGTTAGACAGATAGGAGCTCGATAATCATTATCATCGCCATCATAACCATCATCATCATCATAACCATCATCATCATCATTATCGTTATATTTAATTACATTATTGAATCTCAATCGCTTCTGAAGACACTTGCGGATATTTGAGTCTTTTCATAATAATCGACAATGTTTTTTTCAAAAAGTTTACCGAAAATAAATTGTCTAATGGTAGTGGAAACTAAAAGAAAATAAATAAATTTTTTTTAATAACTTTTTAGGTAAAGAAAAAAAAGGATTCGTTAAATTTATTTAAAATTATTAAACACGATTCTTGAGGATTGGTCATTGTATAATGGTACTTTTTTTTTTTTTTTTAATTAATTGATCAATTAATTAATTTAAAAACTTGCGTTTTTGAAAGTATATCATATACCTAGACAGATAAAGTAAAGATTTTTACGGATCACAAATGTAATGTCGTGTGATGTGTTTTAAACTTCATCGAGATTGAACCCAGAAGTAGAGACAGACAAGTTAGGTAAGACGAAGGTAAGACGAGTTATCAATTGAAGTGGCCTAACCTGATCTGGATTAAAAAACTGTTGTTTTAAGTTTTTAAAAAATGAATTAAAAAATTGAGCTAATTTTAAGTTGTACTATCAACTATAGCAAACATTTCTCCAGTAAAAACAATATATTTGTTGATTTAAAAGTAGGTTAACAATGTATTCCACCTATATTCCACCACGGGCAGTAGATACATACAGGTAATGCGAGTTAAATTAAAGGGTAAGTATAGTAAAAATATGAAACAGAAATTTATACGAAGGCTTTGATTAATTAAATTCTTTATATTAATGAGAACAGGAGCAAAAAAATACTAGATCGTTAAAATTATTGCGAATCGACGTAACTTGATTAAAAAACTGAATGATACTCTTGGACGCTTAATGATAGTGTGATCATGAAATTGTTGCGAATAATATGTATTTAAATTACAAAAATTATTAAATACATATCAGTGTGTAGTTATAAAAATACGGTATGCTGTATACGTTAGATTAAAAAAAAAAACTATAAAGCAAACTATGATTATTAAAAAATAAAATAAACAAAATCATTAGCATTAAAAGAATGCCGAGCTTGACTAGTGTTGCATTCAATTAGTTTCGCATGAAGAAAATCGAATAATATTATAACACCTTGATAAACATTTTTCAACATATAGACGGTAAATACGACATGCTATGAGCTGTTTAAAAATAAAATTAAGTCTTACGATCCGTTTGCACAGGTAATTGATTTGAATTTAAAATTTCTCTTCATTTCAGAAGAGATTATCAATTCACTACAAGTAAGCCAGCAAACATTTGTAAGGTCACTTCTGAAATATTAAAAATTAAGTAGCTACAAAATGCTAAGCAAATTATTTTTCATTTGAAACTTGTGCAGCTGAACAAGTAACGTTTTTCTTCTACTTTTCTGGCTGTATCGGGATTACGCGGAAACACATGGTATACATTTTTGCGCACTATGAAATTCACCGAATCAACAACGCGTTGAATATGCATTGTTGCATGCCAATCCATACCTACATGTCACGCAAACACCGTACGGCATAGAACTTTTTTCTACCCACTTTCCACGCAAACACGCACTCCAAATTTTTTCCTCGCTATCTTTTTCATATTTTCCTCGGAATTCCTTAGAATCGGCCACTCGAGCTTAGCACGTAAATGCTGCTCAGCAGCTGTTTCAATGATATAAATATTTGCACGCACTGTAGACAAAAAAAAATTTCAGAGACGTTGAGTACAATACACCTCTTCATGAATAATTTTTTTGCAGAAGGGGAATCGTCGGTCGTTCTGCAACTATGGCGTATTTTCACCTCTACGGACAAATCCATGCCACAATAGGATAAATGATCATCTTTTAGTAGGTAATGGCTGTAGATGCGTGTTTTTGTGTTTGAAATAAGTAAAAATGTGTTAATAATCATGTATACCAATCGGACGAGCGGTGATAGTCTAAATGCGAGTGCCATCGCAGAGCCGGTTGATTGGCTCTTGGGCCAAGAATATTACAGCTAACTTAAGATTATGACTTCACTTGTATAATAATGCAAACGAAAAAATGACTGATAACAATGATTGGAAAAGGTAACGGGGATGACGCAACGAAAACTTGTCAAAGAAGAATGTCTGCCAAATGAGCAGCGCACCACCGGTTCGTCGTTCCGCGGCGAACTGCCGACTTGTATGCTCCATTATCGCTCGCGTCTTGCCCAATTCTCCTCGTGTTTATTCATGTGGGAAAAAGAAGGAGATACGTTGGCGAGGCGAGTGTATGCGCGTTTAATTTCGGTTTCACGTAACGAATTGTTATGTACGTTCATCCATACATACGCAGCAACGATAAGAGAGCTGGGAGCTGTGGAATCAGAGATAATGTACGCGAGCGAGGGGGGGGGGGGGGGGGTTAGCGTGATGATAGCAGATGTGCTTTCTTCGATAGTTGCGAGGAACGCTCGTGTGAACAAATATTTTTGTACGGATAGAAGTATAAAGTAAAATAATCGACATGTATTGTATCACGTACGCTCATCTGAGTAGAAGTAAATTTTTTTTCTTTTTCTTTTTTTGTATGTGGAAGGAAAATTGGTATTGGTTGATAGTAAAATATTTGTAAGACACGTGAGAAAAATACAATATCGAAACATGTACGGATTTTTCTTCTGTTTTTCCAAAATAAAAATAATTGAATCCATACATTTTTAGAAAATTTTTTCTAGCAAATCATTATATTCCATGTGTAACAGGGCCGTGATGATTATCTTCAAGTTAATTCGAAAAATTTTACTATTACGTAGACCCAAAAAAAAAACGTATCAATTCTTACATGCTTAGAGCCGCTCAACCTAAATGTATCCTTACGATAAAAAGTTGAGCTCTTATTGTTTTTTAATTTTTTCAATGTAAAAAAAAAAACCACAAACATTATGTCATCGTAGACCTGGATGTGGACTAAAATTTTTTTTAAACTTCCAAAAGATTCGAATAAACTAACCCAAATTACATACTTAATAATAAATAAATTAAAAAAATCTATAAATAGCATACAACGTTTTAAAAATGTTCCAAAATATTTATACCTATATATTTTATCCTACTAATTACATAAAAATGAATACGGTAGTTTAACAGTGGTTTTTAGTAACAAAAATCATCAAAAATTTTGTACGGTTTAAAATTGTTTATATTTTTTTGACAATTTTTTCTTAAAACTACATTTTTTAAAGTTCTGAAAACTCAGAGAAAATTCGTTATCAAAGCTTAACGTTTGCAATGGGATTGTAAAGTTTCCCGTTTAAATAATTATAATTACTCCACGCTAGTTTTCTAAACACAAGCAATTTTTATAAATGTTTGTCATCGCATCTTACACTTAAGTATGCATTAATGCAATTTTATTTCAAAAATATTCTATAGTCAAAAACGAGAAAATAAGTAAACTTGGAGTGAAACATTCTTTACTTACACTTACAAATTTTCAAGTCATTGTAACAAACAATACATCATAATTAAACTAAGTAACCAGTAAAACGTTAGGTTTTTATGTAAAAGGATGATAAATCAATAAAGTTAATTGATAAACTCAACTTAACACAATAATAATGTAAGATGTTAATGATTGACTCAAACTCCATACGACGAGAAAATCCATGAAATTATTATGATAGTTACATTTCATCCTAGTGAAAAGTTGATATACTTTTTTCAATATCTCTTCAACGACTAGTGTATACACATTCGTACATTGTAAGCTATCGTTCAAGTGCATATACCCTAGTTTTAATGAAATTATTAACCATACTTTTTCACCTTCTTAATTGTCAAGAATGCGCGTGACTTGCAGATATTAATCATCATTCTACTTTAAAAAAGCAAATAAAGCTACCTGTTCGTGCTCTCATGTAGCTATGTGTTAGTATAAAGGCCTTACCGAACGAAAGAGAAAAGTTAGAGGTGAGAATTCTTGCAGTTTTGTATCTGCACGCGATCGCAATGAAATTAAATGTATGTATATATATTTACTAACGCGCAAGCATTGCTGCAGTCAGTCAGAGCTATTTCTTGGAAATAAGGTGTTGCAAGCTTGCAAACATTTTATTCGACTTATTAATCTTTATTATAATTGTAGTACTTATGTGACATTTTTAATGATGTTATAACTTTATGGTACTAAAATAAATTTTAGTTTATAAATGTTCGAGATATTTTTTTCCGGTCAAATGCACAGGATGGAAAAAAGTTTGTACATCTATTCTCTTTATTTTGACTGAATTTTTTTACATAAGACTATGAGGATTTATGAATCTTAAGATTATATCATCTACTCTTTTTTAAAAACTTTTGCTGATATACTCTTGAATAATAAATTTTATAAATGCACAAAGTTGGAGGAATTCTATTAAATCACTTTTTATTTTATGACTGCTATAGCTCATGCCATATATTGTATAATAACTTGCATCCATGTAACACAGTTTGCTCGTATTAATTATCCTGCAATTTTATTTTATTCATAAAAAATGATGTGATTTACTTTTTAGTTACTTAAAGTTAATAAGTATTTTTCGCATTGTTTACGTCATTATTATACTAATCTATAAATAATTAAGAAATATTCAACAATCTGATTGTTTCAGTTCGCGATGAATTAATTTTTCTGGACGAATCGAGATATCGTCAATCGCTCTTCGTTTTTTATTTGTTGCTTATTTTTCTCCAATTATGATTACTTTTGTAAAATAGAAAAAAAAAATTAAATCAACAAAAAAAAAATAAAAAGTTTCTGCAAAACTCCAGCCCACTGATTTGGAGCTGATTTCAAAGAGCCAACATACTTGAGTACCTACAATTCAATATTTTGATTTCAATGCTCATCGACCCTACGAAGTATAATACTGTACTATAAGTGCGTATACACACTTATGATGATAAAACATCTCGATTTCAAGATGTATTGGCTTTGGCTCTCAGAAGCACAATAAGGTACTATCATATTATGTATAAGAAATAAATAAAGAATATTGTATTGATTCACTCAGGTAATACAATACAAGAATCAAGTGGAAGGACACTTGGTGAGCATGGCACAAACATACAGGTACCCAACATTATTTTGAATGGGAATGTACATTTATCTTGGACAAAAAACCCGTATGATAGAGTCTACATAGATTCTGACACAAACATTTTAAAATTAACCTATTGGTGATTAACTGCAAAAATTTAGGGGCAAGTAACAGTTGGCCGGGATAAAGCTAACGAACGTAGATAGAGTTGTATATTATACGAACATGTTGAATATCTCCGCATTTATAAACAGATCACACTTATTGAACCAGAACACAATAACAGTTTCTTCTACCAGTAAAAGTATCTAAATTTCATTTATTCTTCGATTCAAGATATTGGTTGTATTATATATATAATATGTTGTATTATATTATATATGGTTGAAAGCAAATTAGAAGGGAATGAGGTACAATTGTAGAGGTGGTAACGGGGCGGTGAAGGGGTGAAAGTACGCTTTTCGCCAGAAAGTCAGACAGAAAGAGAGTAGGGAAGGGAGAAGTCGCGCATCAAATTGATTTGTACGGAAAGCGAATAAAAACATTACCAGAGTCATGACGTCGTTTGCACGAAGGGGGTGCACGTTTTTTTACATGTCTTGCTCGTTCTGCGCTTTTATAAATTGGATTAGTAACTTGATGGGGATCATTGAATGTCTCGGGGGGGGGGGGGGGGGCAACTATGGCTGCCACTCTGGAACTATCAAGCCAGTTTGCAGCTTTATTCATTTAAAAGTACATAGCCTGATGAACTTAGCCGCACGTATTTGGTGTACATATGAAGAGCTTCCTACCCTTTAATTAATACCTATTATTTTCTTGGAAAGAAATGGATTGGAATAATATGCGTCTGCAAGCTATATATGTACAAAGAAATATACGAGCGATTCGTCGTTCTTATGTTTCGTTTGAGGATTATCATTCATAGGGGGAGAGTTTCATTACTTTTGTACATACATGTTAAAAAATGCCATTTGAATCACCATTAAAATGATTTTTAATTCAGAAAGTCACTGTACAACGTTGATTATAATTTTCAACTATTGTTAGTGTATATCAGGGATTTGTATTCATAGGTATTTTCCATGCAGTATCAGATATTATTACGTAGTAGTCATGAGGCATTGTTCAGTCTCATCAAATATATGTTTATATTTTAGATTGTGTATGCAATTAAAATTACAAGGTTTCGTCTATTTTACCATCTGCTCGAACGCAAACATCAAAGTTGTAGTATCAAAGCATTAAATAAATGCAAGATAAATAATGTACATTCTGTACTTGTCGGTAATCAAGTAGTTGAGCTCAATCATTTGAAACAGTTTTTATAGTTATTCTCGAAACTAGTAATCATCAAGCGTCTGGACAATCCTTTACTCTTAGTTCCTTTGGCTCTTTCAGTGATAAGTAGCCCTTGAAAACGACTCAACGTCGAGTATCCTTGATAAACCAACTCTAAAATACACAACATAACGTATAGATAAAGATTACACTATTTACCCAGAAAAAATCTCCATGCGTGTTAATACTAAATGGTGGTAGCTAAATATAACACGTAAGTAATCCGTTCTATTTCGGTTTTCATTGTCAGTATGGAGTGCACCAGCACTCTTATTCCCTTTTTTCTTTTATTTTTATTTTTATTTCTTTGTAACAACCGTGCAACAGCTGGCATTTTCAAGGCCGTTCGCAACCTTCGAGCTAGTTTTGAATATACTTAGTTACAGTGCAATTGTTGTGCCTTTATCGGAGAGGAACGAGGTCGTGTACATAAAACAATGTTTTCCTTAATCAAAGTGTAACTTCTTTCGAATCATAGTGTGATGAATATACTTTATGGATGTGTTCATGGTTCACCCCTCAATTGCGTGCTAACGTTTTCATCAACTAGGTTTTCAAGGAGATTGGCATTACAACGTAAAACGATGTTTACTGTATCGTGTGCTTTGAAGTAAGGCGTTTAATTATTTAAAAACAAAAATTCAAATTGTCAAATACATACAAGAGAGTACACGCTTTTGATCGATGAAAAACATAAAAACTGCGTCTAGAAACTTCATTCGCGTTGCATGGATCAATATGTCATCACAATTCTTCCCCCATCCAGTGTATACACGTAAACCGTGTTAGCATTGATAACGACTTGATGCTCTTGCCTCTTATTTTTCAACTCGACGATGCCGAAGCTGCTTTTTCTGTCAACCCTCCCACTCT